GGGGGGTTAAGTTAAAAAGTTGACGTTCGATTTGGTGAGATATCTTAACCGAAGCAGTTCATTGAGGTCAGTGAACTTGAGTCACATCACTCCTAGCCCCAGTCCGACAATGAAAGTTTTTATTAGAACCAGTGGCAGGTAAGCACGGCGAGCCAATTACAATTAGGGCTGTGCTTCAGCTTTAGCACCCCACCCAGGCTACCATCGACAACCTGCTGCACCCCGCCAAATGGTTACGTCATGATCTGTTCTAATCCAAAGCCCCTTTAAAATCTGAAACCCTCCTGCCAGCCAGTAATAGTATTTACGTTGTTGTTGTTGTTTTGAACTGCGTTAGTCACCCTATCAAACGGAAATCATCACCGCGATGTGCAGTGACTTACTCGCTTCGTAGTTTTCCCACTCGATGAGGGTGTAGTTGGCGTCGGGGATGCTCAGCTCGCAGCCGAACGCGTACTGCGCCCCCTCGTCCAGGGACGCCTCGTCCACCACGATGTCGGCCTCGATGTCAAATAGGCCGTCCTTCCTATCAGTCACTCGAACTTCGGCGCCATCCATGATTTTCCCTCCGCCATACCTGACACAAATCAGCGCAAAATCGTTAATTAGTAACTGTATTAAATTTCAAATAAGCATTATGTAGTTGAAGGTTGTAAAGAAAGCGCATCTTAAATTATTAAAACACTACTCACTCGATGGACCTTTTGATGAAAGTCATTTCCGGCTTGGGGAAGACCCCGTCTGCTTCGCAGGATAGCCTGACCTGACCCTCCACCGTGGTCTTGCTTTGGGTGAGTTCTAGGTTCTCCTCTGGAACTGTAAAAGTAAACCAACATCTTTAAAGATGAACTTACGAAATGGCACTGCCAATTGATACTTTCGTTGCACCTAGTGTCACTATGATGATTGTTCATCGTGAAAGAATTCTGAACTCGATGCACTCGACACTCACCGTAGATGATCATTTTCTTTGTCTTGCTGTCTTCGCCGTAGAAGGAGGACACCTCGCAGCGGTACTCCCCGCTGAGCTCAATGGTGGGGTTGAGGATGCGCAAGGCGCGGTGGCGGGTGGACGGCTGGTCCGTGGCGTGGTACATCAGGTCCACCCGGTTCCTCAGCACGCCCAGGTCCTGGCGGACGAGTAAAACACAATTCAGCTGTCCGAGAGTTCTTTCAAAGATGGCTAATTATTGAAAGAAGTGCATCCTGTGAGTGCAGACTCACCTGAGGAATCTTGTTGGCGATCCATTGGTACACGGGCAACGGGTTGGTCTCCTGGTTGAGGAACCACTTGACGACGAGGCCCTCCGACTTCTCGCCGGGGTCCAGCGAGTAGTCACAGTCCAGGATCACGTCCTTGACGCTGCCATTCCGGATGGGGCTGGGGACGTGCAGCTGCCCGATCCTCAGCGCCCACGAGCCTGCGGTGATCAGAGTGTTGAAACGAACTGGTTAGGGTGGGCTATTTTATGACTGCATTTGAACACATCATGTGTTCCAGACCTTGACGCGTAACCCAATTCAAATGTAGAAATAAGAAGTGGCCAACGCATCCCTTAGTATTTTGTAGGGGTCTATCGGAAAATACATCCGCCGTTACAAACGCGTCAAGCTCACTCAGTCTCTGCCCCCAAGCACTGATAGCGCCTGGTAGGTAGGCAGCATCTCACCTACAGCGCATCCGTGTGCGGCGCGGTGGCCTACGTCGAGTTTCGCAGGCGTCGAGCTACTGCTGCACTTTGCCAAATGAACCTGAGAGAAACGTACGTGTTCGCCTGGCCCATGGAGGATCGAGTTCACTCTCTCTCACTCTGGCCAGCCCGCCGGCAGTACGCCGACGCTGAGCGTGGGGTAGAGGACGGCGGCGCCACCCGGCGCTACCCCACGAGCCGCGGCCTCCCACTGACCGCGCTGCTCGGCGCTACCCCACGACGTGGAATTCCCTCCCGCCGTAGCCAATCCGCGCCCCACCCGCTCCTCGGGGGCGAGACGCGACGCGACACGACACCGGGTGTCCCCTTGCGCCCGCCGTATATACGCGAACCCCAACCCATACATACCCTCTCGGTGTCCCTCTGTGTCTGAAAGCCCCCTCCCATCCTCCCCTCGAACTAGTGCTGCGAAGCGCCGCCGAAGCGCACACCCGCACCGCGGGCTCCTCTAAAAATACAATGACGACTCCTCGGCCGCCCTGGCCGGCCCTGGTGGGGGGCTGGCGGCCTCCCAAGCCTTGCACAATATTTCTGCGTGTGGAGCGGCGCCCCGTCGCGGGGATATATTCGAGGCGCCCCTCCCCGCCCAGCCCCTCCCCGCCACCAGCAGACGACAAGCCCGCGCCGTTAAGCGACGCATGGGGATTGGCCTCGATAGGCTCGCCCGCTCCCGCTGCTGTCATGTCCCTCTCGCTGCTCGCGGCCTCCGCGGCTTCCTCCCCGCGGCCGGCCTCTTCCGCCGCCCGGGGCCGGCCCGCCTCGTGGCCGCCGCCGTAAATCTCCTGCTGTTTGAGGGGCTGCTGAGCGAACGCTCCGAGGTCCGAGGCGCGGTCGCTCCCGTCGGCCGCCGGGGGGCGCGACGCGACGGCCTTCATCGCTCTCAGCTGGTCTCTCCCTCTCTCTCACACACCCCTACGAGACCTCGCGGAGCGGGACGGCGTTTCGGAAAGAGAGAAATGGATGAACGGGTATACAGCCCCCGCGCTGCCCCGCTGGGCCCCGCTGGGCCCCGCCCGCTAGTCGCGGAGGAGGCGTTCAAGGCCGCCACGAGCGTATTTCGGATCAGAGCCGCGCCGGCCCGCGCGATGCAGCGTCCCACTGTGCTCATCTGGGTCGTCGTGGTCCTGGTGGTGGTGGTGGTGGTTGTTGTGGTGGTGGTGCTCGCGCCGACGCCACCCAGAGGCGCGCGACCACCCCGTCTGTGTCACATGGGCTCGCAGCACAATAAAGGCGGTGATCTCATGTGCGCGGGCATTCAGCACCACCGCTCACTCACTACCCCCCCCCCCTTTCTCTCCCTCCCTCCACTCTCACACACTCACACACTCTTACAGCACGAACAGATGCAGGGATGAGGTCATCCGGAGCAGACAGTATGGATCCTCTCTGGTGTCTTCGCGTCACCCCCTCGGCGCGCTGACTGCAGTGCAGCCCAGTATCCGACGGATGTCCCGAGAAGTGCGTACTACTATACAGCTACTTTGTGGCGGACACCAGCGTGACAACCCCACGACGCGCGCCTCGCACCCGCGGACAGATTGAGGGCGGCGCCCAAATTAAACCCGCGTCCCTTTCCGCCCCGCGCTCATGCGAGACCATGCGAGACCATAGGACCCTCTCTTGTTGGCGGAGAGGGTCGTCGTTGTTGGGTCCTCAGTCAGTCCGCACCCTGCTCGGCACTAGAGGAGTGCGAAAAAGCTGGGTGTGGCAAAATACCCCGCTTCGGTGCAGTTAGATAGTCCGACCTATTTTTCTCCGACCTGGCGATTTTTCCAAAATCCCAAAAAGTGCTGTCCGACCCAGGTTTTGTCCGACCTAATTTTTTCCGAGCCATTTTTCTCCGACCTCGTCGATATGCTGACAGTTTGGAAAGTGCAGTCAACTTTAACACTTTACCCCACGTTTGGTTTTCCTACCCCAGGGGGCCGTAGCGCCTAACGGGCATTGCAGGTAGGCAACACGCACGCCTGCGTGCGGTACAGCATAACCACGACGACTGGCGGGTTCGCCTACCCCAGGTGGCCGGAGCGCCTTCCGGGCAGTGCGGCAGTGTGGCACTATGCTTTTGACGTGAATCACCTTCGTGCAACCGGCAGTTAGAATACCTTTTAGAGCCGGATTCATTTTACCTACAAAATTATCAAAAATGAAAAAAATGTGGGCCCTACCCACCCCGCTTTGACACGGGGACCCGCCTGCTTAACTTCGGAGTTCGGTATGGGATCCGGT